ATCAAACAAACAAACAAACAAACAAACAAACAAAACCCCAAAGTATACAAGACATAAGAAATGGAAAATTATTTGTTGATAACACATATGTTGGTGTGCTTGATTGAGCCAATTACAGTGTATTTTGGATGGAAAATTCATTTGTATGCTGTAATGATGTATAGTGAATTAATGTAAAAAATAAATAAATTTAAGGAAGAAAAAAAAGAAAATATACTTAAGAAAAATAAGTAAGGTACGTGCACTCATCAGAGAGAGACAGGCAGCGAGAGAAGCAGAGGGAAAGTGAGAAATCACTTGCATACTTAGCCATGTGGAACCCAGCTGCCTTAATCACAAAACCATCGACTGGTCTAATTTATTTATTTATTTGCTTATTTATTTTGAGAGATTTTTGCCTTAGGGTGTGTGTATTCACCAGACAAAAACAGACATGGTGAGGGGAAGGTGAGAAATCACTTCCAGAGGGGATGGCCATGCTGCAATTCCTTCTCCTCCTTTCTCCTCCCTGGATCCTGGGCACACATACACACATGCAGTGTTATTTTTAAGCCATTGGGTCTGAGACTAGACCCACCATTGGCCATGTGGGAATCCAACCATCGGCTAGTCCCTATTTATTTATATTTTAGAGGTTTTTGCCATACGGTGCATGTGCTCACCAAAGAGAAAGAGAAAGACAGATAATGAGGAGGAAAGTGAGAAATCACCCCCTGGTGAGATGGCCACCCCTTAATCCCTTCTCCTCTATTCTCTTCCTGGGATTTTGGGCACTTACACATGAGCGCCTATTGTGATTTTCAAGCCACCAGGTCCAGGACTTGAACTGTGGTGGGCTGTGTAGGAGTCCAGCACCATAATCTCTCCACTCCTTGCTTGCTGTTGGCCCAATTTTTAGGCCACTTTGAAGTCAACGTCTAAATTGAGTCTGCTTCTGATAATGAGACCACCTCAACCTAGTCAGGGCAGGAGTAGGTAATGGGTCCTCATACAGTGAAGGGTTATGAGAGGACGCTAATTCTGTGGGGGTTCAGGAGCTTTGCCCCCTGAGCCTGTGTCATATGCCCTTTCCGTGCTCTGGATGTTTCTGTTCACAATCTGAGATACAGACCACGAGAGGCAGTGGGAGGAGGTCTAGGACCCACTTTGGAAAGTCTTATTAGTTCTTCTGCCAACTTTTTTATTAAAAAAAAAAATGAGAATTGGATAGCCTTCTTTTACTATTTATTCCTTCTCTGAATTAAAGGCTTTTTTTTTTTTCCAATTGCCACAGGGCATGTTATTGCCAGACAGAGAGAGACAGAGAGAGAGAGGAAGACGGCCTTGGGATAACAGGGGAGGGGGCTCCCTGTGCTTTTCTCTCCATCACTTCAGGTCCTCCCCTTCCGTCTTCAAAACCAGCAGCACAGCTCATCTCTGCCCCTGCTTCCCTGATCACGGCTATTCTCTGACGTCACTAAGAAAGGTCTCTCCCTTCAAAGGCTTGTGATCAACTGGGCCCATCTGGGTGGTCCAGGACAATCCCTCATCTTAAAGTCCTTAATATCAATCTCATCTGTAAAGTCCTCCTCGCCATGCGTGTAACATATCCACACATCTGGGGCTTAGCACATGGCATCCTGGGGACCTACTCTAGTAGGGTTTATCCTGGAAGTTCAGCCTCTGAGCAATTCATGGCTAGGAACAATATTTTTGAATTCTCCCATATCTATACGGATGTCTTTCCTCCCATCAGAGGAAAGAAAAGATGGAAAAGAAGCCACTAGTGTCTCCTTTTTTTTTTCTTTGAACTCTCCTTTCTCCCATCCTAGAAACCTCTCCATTGCCTGTTAACTAGGCAGGATTTCTCTGATTCCATATCCTGAGTTCTCCTCACTCAGGGCTTATTGTCCTCCAAGTTCAGCTCAGTCAGATAAAATTCGTTCTCTGGCATGGTTTTGAGCAACCTATAGGTTTGGTTATTTGTAAGTAAGTGGAATCTTGGAAATTTTAATCTGTCCGATTGTTTCTCAATAAAATCTAGCTTTCACAATTGTGTGGCTGGGACCTAGAAAAAGAATAATTAGATAGTGAAATCTGGGCAATGGCTTTTCCTTTGGGGTCAGTGTCCAGCCTCTCAGTCCCTTTGTATTAAGCTTTATGGCTAATACATAAGGAGAGTCTATGTATCTTATGTATCTCATAGACTTTCATGGAAAGCCTGCAGCATTGTGTGTGTGCGTGTGTGTGTGTGTGTGTGTGTGTGTGTGTGTGTATGTGTGTGTGTAATAAATACATTTGCTGAATATGCTCAAAACACTTGTCCCTATAACTGCTATAAATCTGGCCTGTGAGCGACGTCGTGCGTTTGTAGGTGCTCCCCCTTCTCTCGTGGTTTCTGTCTCCTCCTTTGGTTCTCTGTGGTGGTACAGATGCTGGAACTGTCAATGGTGATAGGATGGGTGTTGAGAACGACAGTAGCAAAGAGGCAGTGGAGGGGCCATCAGGTGGCATGGTTGTTAAGGTGCCTGATATACATGGCTGACCACAGTTCAAGTCCTGCACCAGCAACTTGAGATTATACTGGGTGCATGTGTGTGCATCCCCAAAGCCCAAGAGGAGAATGGAGAAGGGATTACAGCATGGCCATTCCTCTGGGGGGCGATTTATCATGTTCCCTCTCTCTGTCTCTCTCAGCAAGTGTGTACACCCTATGGCAAACACCTGAAAAAAAGAAAACAGGAAACTAGGCAATGGTGAGATTTCTAGGATGGAGAAAGGAAAGTTCAGAACAGGAAACACACATTCAGGGAGAAGGCAGACACTGGTGGCTTCTTTTCTCCTTTTCATGACCTGGCAGGAGCAAAAACATCCCTGTAGCTATGGGAGAACCCCAAAATACTGTACCTAGTCCTCTGCCTTCCCCAGGAATTGCCCATAGAGAATGAAAGCTTCCGGGATGACTGTTTCAGAGTCCAGGTTCTGATGCTATTTAGTCCCTGCCCGTCACTGATATGAAATGTTGGTTCTTTTGTAGACTGGCGGAAGGAGCAGTTCCAGGCCTGTGAGTGACTCGTGTCCTTTCTGGGTCTTGCTCTCCTGCCCTCATGGTTCCTGGCTTCTCCTTCGGTTCTCTGTGGTGATATAGATGCTGGAACCATCCATGGTGGTGGGTGGGTGTTGGCAATGACAGCCACAGTGCTGGGTCTGGTGGGTAGGGCTAAGGTCAGATGCGAATAGATGTCCCTCAGCTCCTGTGCTGTCCTCGGGGCTCTGTGACGTACATAACTCCTAAAGTCCCTTGGATCCTTCTGTTGTAGGCCTGTGGGCTTGAATCTCATGAATCACAAGGCTCTTTTCTCAGTGGCTTAGCCCTCCCCTGTGTAGATAATGGCTCTGAGGGAGGGGGTGGCTCTGTGTCCTCATAGGGTGAGGGAGGGTCTTGCATGGTTACTAACTCTCTCTGCAGGGACTGTTACTCTGGATCCAAGTTCTGCCCATCCCCGCCTTGCTATCTCTCATGGAAGGACAAGTGTGACCTGGAAGGACACCTGGCTGGACAGAGATGCTCTCTTGATGCTTCTGGGCCGTAGGAAAATTGTGCTGGGCCCCGAGGGCATCACGTCTGGGCGCTGTTACTGGGAGGTGGAGATCAGGGATACAGACAGTGCTGAGTGGGCTCTAGGGGTCTGCAGGGAAGATGTGGAAAGGACAGACTGGTACAGAGAGACTCCAGATAGAGGATTCTGGGTGATGAGGAGGTCTGTATATGGATATTATGCTTGCACTAGACAAATATCTTGGCTGTCCCTTAGGCAGCCTCCCCACAGGGTGGGCGTTTTCCTGGACTACAGTGAGGGGGACGTCTCCTTCTACAACATGACTGACAGGTCCCACATCTTCCCTTTCCCTCCGGCTTCCTTCTCTGGGACTCTTTTTCCTTACTTCAGCTTAAAGTCAAGTAATGTGTCCATGACCGTGTGCACCACGGTGGGTAATCCTGAGGGGCTCCCCATGCCCTTCACTGATTCTCCTTTGAAGGCACCCACGGGCCCCCCAGGGGAGCACACACCCTTGCTTGCCACAGACTCCGGGGCTGAATTGCCATCACTGCCCTGACACTTTAAGGCTGAGATGCCCACAGGGCCCCACCCCCGTCCCTGAGCCCTCCCTGCTGCTCCTCCTGAGGTCGCAGACCCCTGTGGGAAGAGCCTCTGAGGTGAGTCCTGATGACCCGGCAGCCCTGACCCGCTCTCTGGATGCC